TTCAGCTTCATTATTGTACGGTTAGCTCTCGCTTAAAGACCATTCATTCAGTGACTGTTCAAAGTTATGACGGCATTGAATGAATGGCACCAATGACCAGTTCTTGAAATTATGGCCGTTTAGTGCCCTGGTGGTCTTGTGATCAAAATTTGGGCACTTGGCATCATGGCCTCATTTGCAATCATAGGAGGGGCTGCAACTTTCCCCCACTGCTTATGTATCCTCATCTTTTTGGCCGTTCTGCACTCTGCCACACTGTGGTCCTGCACACTCCATCACCACAATCGCCCATAGCTGATCTTTGCCATCTTCTTCCTCCCACTATTGATGAGGCATGTCTGGCCTGGCCCTTCGCAAGGCTTTCTTCCTGGCTTCTCAAAGTCACCCAAGGCCTTAGGGAGAAGGTTTCACATGGCCAGCGGCTGCCTTACGAATGGCCAGTTGGACACACTTTGTCAGCAGGACAGAAAAGATGGTGAATTTGGGGTAGTGGAGCACAGGGTGTCTTGAATACCTGCTAGTCCCCAACCCTGGCTGTCCTGACCCTTCACAGCATTCAGCAGCCACTTTTTAGAATAGAACAAAATTCTTAATTGGCCAAGTGTAATTGGACACACAAGGAATTTGTCTTCGGTGCATAAACTCTCGGTGTACATAAAAGATATAAGTGATAAATCATGATCATAATCATAAATACATTAATCATGAATCATAAGATACAACACTTAGTGATAGTCATAAGATACTAAATAAGCATTCAAATTCATACTAGGAAATTAATAAAAAAATATAAATCGTAAAGATACAAGCAACAAAGTTATAGTCATAAGTAGAAAAGGAGATAGTAATAGGAAGGATGAGAAGAATAATAGTAATACAGTCTTAGTTTGACAGTGTTTTGGGAAATAGTTGTTTAGCAGAGTGATGGCATGCGGGGGAAAAACTGTCCTTGTGCTTAGTTGTTCTGATGTGAAACGCTCTATAATGTCATTTTGAGGGAAGAAGTTGAAACAATTTATGTCCTGGCTGAAATTGCCATCACTCAGCAATGTAGTCATGGGTATCATAGTTTACAACCACATTGCTTAGTGATGGAAATTCCAATCCCAATTATTGTCATTAATGAGGATTTGTTGTGGAGCTTGTTATGATCATGGAAGTTATGATCCAATATATGGTGAAATTTTAAACTGAATTGATGGTAGAGCTTTTATCAGTGGGTCTCACTAACTTACAGGTAGTCATCAATTTACAACCATAATTGAGTGCACAATTATGGTCTTAAGTCATGGCATCCTGTGACCCCCCCAGACCTGGTTTTTTAAACATTTTTGCTGCACTTAATTGAACGCCATGATCATTAAGCAAATGCTGTGGTCATTAAATGAATCAATTTTCTTCAATGATCAATTTTTTAGATGACAATTGGAAGTAAGCATTGGAGGCAAAAAGTGTCCCAAATCACAGTCATATGATCGTGAGACACTGCAAATGTCCATAAAGGTGAGTCAATTGCCAAGCATCCAAAATGTGTGGGTGACCATAGGCTGTGGGTGACCATTGTAACTTCAAAAAAGGGTGCTTTGTAGCTCTGGGGAGGTCTGTGTAACTTTGAATGATAAGTAATTGGTGATACGTTGAGGACTATCCATATATTAACCATACTGCTTTTTCAGTTTTTCTCATCATTGCTCCATTATCATCCTAAGATAAAGATGCCCACAAATTGAGCTCACCTTGTCTGTTTTTCTGTACAAGTAGTTTTCTTTATGAAGCATTAGGTTGCAGCCATGCACCATTTTTATTTTCCAGCAATGTCTGCAGACCCTGTAAAGTCGATAGCAAAGATTGATGGTACGTTTTGAAATATGCCAATTTCCTGTTGGATGTCAAAACTTTCTTCTGGGGCAAGAAGACTGGCAGATGCACTTAGGTTCATGTTGATTGGTTCTGGAGGTTTTTTATTAATTCATAGTCCTCTTGTATTTGAACTGAGAAACAATAAATTCCAACTTCAGAACAAACTGTCATACCAAACCATAGTCTGAAATGGATTTAAGGTTGAAACTTATTTTAAACCTGGTGTCTGATTTCCCATAACTCTGAAGACTTCCAGCAAAACACTGAGCAGTAAAGAAAGAAGAACAGGGCTGTATTTGTACACTTAAGGCTTATACATGTCTTGGCTTAATAACCTGAAATTGTAATTTGAACTGAGTGATGCCTACTTCATTTGGCACTGTGAACAGTAGTGGGTTGGTGGGTTGCTCTTACCGTCGCTACTGGTATGCAGATTGCAGTCCGTTCATGCACACGCCTAACATGAGCTGCGCATGCATGCACAATCCACCGCCCCCGCAACAACAAAAGCTTGTTGGGGCTCATGCAGGCACCGCACACTGTGCGCGGATGCACAGTGTGCCTTTTGGCATAAATACATCTGCGGGTGGGCCAAATGTGCAACCGTACCGGTACCCTCTTAGCTGTCCAGGCCACTACTGATATGGCCGTACCAATATGAACCAGCAGCAACCCACCACTGACTGTGATGGCTTTGCTTTTAAATCTTTTCCTCTGCTGCCTGATTAAGGCTGTGGTTGTCAGTTAATTGAGGTTGTCCCTTGTCCCCACCTATGTACAAAATAGGAAAATAAAACTCAGCTTTGAATTAGTGTTTTGAAACAGTCCCAACCTTCCATGATGCAGATAGTTCTCGACTTACATTCACAGTTGGGGCCTGAATCTTGGTCATTAAGACACCCATATTACTTTTTTGTTCAGTAGATGCAATGCCAGCTCTCCCAATTGTGGACATTAAGCAATACTTGGGGGTGCCTCAGGGGCTACGGGCTCGCTGGTGGGCAGAAACCTTTACACCCCATCATGCCTGGTCCATTTATCTTTGCCTTTTCACGCATCTGATGAAAGCATTTTTCTAGCCTTCTGAACAATCACATTCATTCGCTTCCTGGCCATAAAAGAGTCTTCCTAGCCTTTGGAAAGATCGTTCTGAAGGCTTAGAGAGGCTTTCTCTAAACCAGAAAGCTAGCAGAGGCAATAACTCTCTTTACAAAACAGAGTCTGTTGCATGTGAAGTCTGTTATATCAAAGTCTGGTAAATTAAGATTTCAGTATCCAAAGCAAAAATTGGGGAATATAAGAGCAACAGCAACAAACATGCAATTTCCCTTATCCAAATAAACAGACCCAGTTGGCTAGTTTCACACATGGTGTATAAGCTATATACCAGTGATGGCTAAACTTTTTGTTGGGTGGTAAAAATGCGAGGGCACGCATATGATAGCGTGCGTGCTGGTACCCATAATGCAAAACGCTCCCCCCCCACATACACATATGCACACAACCCCCCCCTGCCCTCCCACGCGCACCGTACTGCTCGCCTCTAAGCTGACCTTGGTATTTCCTCCGGGGGGGGGGCGGTGGTGGCTGTTTTCACTCTCCCCAGGCTTCAGGAAAGCCTCTGGAACTTGGGCAGGGTGAAAAACGGGTCCAACGGGACAACCAGCAGTTTGACACTTCCAGTTGGCCCATTGGACCTGTTTTATACCCTCCCCAGGCTCCAGAGGCTGTCTTGGAGCCTGGGGAGGGCAGAAAAAGTCTCCCCTGGCCCTTCGGAAGGCATGTGCGCTGGAGCTGATGGCTCGTGTGCCAGCAGATATGGCTCTGCATGCCACAGGTTCGCTATCACGTCTATACACCACAGTGGCTGGGCTCCCATGTTGCATTGAACTGGGAACAAAGAAATCCCTTGGACTAAGTGGATGAATCTTATCTTTGTTTTATGTTCCACAGAATCTCCAATATTTATTTACGTGTTTTCAAGAATTTATCTGATTGCAAGGATGGAGCAAATATGTGCATCCTGTGGCTGGGCTCTGTTTTTGTTTTGCAAAGTAAAACAAAATAAGGCTAGGGTGCCCAAGTGACTTAGGTTGTGATACAGAAAGCTCTCAGATCTAGGTTTTACACACAGATGTTTTCAGTGTTGAGATACGAGTCAGTATCTAAAGTGCCAAAACAGCTAAGTAATGAGTGATAACAGAACGTTTAAGTAAACTAAAATATAAATACTAGTATTTATATGTAACACTGAGAAAATCTTCATTTCAAAAATTCTCCATAGTTCAAGATCTTATTGAGATTGATTTCTTTCTGTGCAGATGATTTAGCATCTTTACTACTGAAATCATTTCCATATTTGCTGATCCTGTGAATATGTGGGATCCTTAAATACAAATCCCTGCATTTGCTGATTCTTTTCCTTCTGGTTGTGTGTTTTGCATGTGTTTCAGGCAAAATAAATCATATACCATATTTTTTTTATTATAAGACACTTTTTTCCCTCCTAAAAGTGGCTGAAAATTTGGGTGCGTGTTATACTCCGAATGTAGCCCCACCCACGTGCATGCTCCTTCCCTTCAGCCTTGGCTCGTCTTCTTCCTGGCTGCAGAGATTGCCACCGACAATGGTTTGTGTTTTGGGGCTCCGCACATTGCGTTTTCAGCCTCCAAATGCTTGATGGGTGGTGCCCAAAATGGTTACCTGGAACAGGGGTAAGAGAAGGGGTAAGCTTCTCTTACCCCTTCCCCGCTTTGCCTGCTTTAAACACTGGAGCTCCCTCTGAGGATCAGCTGTGCTTTTGAAGCTATTTTTCAAACCAAACACGAGCTAAGAGATCTTCCATGCTTTGCCTGCTTTTCTAATTGCTGCTCCCTCCAACAATCAGATGTGCTTTAGAAGCACAGCACACACCATCCCCAACCTCAAAACCAGTGAGCAAACTAATGTGCTGAAGCTGACCAGGTTAAGGACTAGCCAGATGAATACCTGGTAGGCAGAATTCACCCCTCCCCCTTATTTTCCTCCCCAAAAACTAAGGTGCGTCTTATACTGTGAAAAATATGGTATTTCTATTTTTAATCTATGTCTTTGTTTACATGAGATTGATAGAGTGCTATTTCTTTCTTTTTTTTCATTAGGTGTAGCTGAAGAAAAGAAGTAGAGGAGGAGGAGGAGGAGTTGAATCCTTTTACCTGCAGCGAAGGGGTGGAACTTTCACCAACCAACACAGCTGAAATTCCGCCATTATGAATGAAGTCGCCATAGTGAAGGAGGGATGGCTGCACAAAAGGGGTAAGCCAGTTCACCCACCTGAACATAGCATCTTCAGCATCCATCCCTTCGTTCTTATTCAGGGAAGACCAGTTATTGCCAAAAAGGTCAGGAAGGTGGTCACAGCTACATAATCAAAACTTTGCCCCTTCTTGCGTGTAAAAAAAAGGAGCAAGATTTTGATCGTGCTGCCACAGCTGCTCTTTTGACAATCCTGATTTTCCCTTTCCACCCCTATGGATCCCATGCTACTTTCAGTCCCTTTAAACCTGTCTTTTTGTCACATTTTGTAAGCTGCCTTAAACACCAGGTGATGGAGGAACAGTAGGAGTAAAAGCAGTGAGTGAAATTCAATTAAAAGTCACTAAAACAACAGTGCTGTGGTTTTTTAAAAAAAACAATTATTACGGTTATAGACCAGCATAAAAGTGCTTTATTACACTTCAGTGTCCCAGTAAAATAGTAAAATTCTAGTCTTTAGAAGCTGAAGTTGGATACTCTTGAAGCTGTTTAGATAAATGTGTCCCCAAATAACGAATGGTAGCCAAGTGGAGAGAAAGGAATATTTGCTTCTTTTATTACAGTTGCAAGAAAATTGGGTGTTGGTAGCGCTACTGTAATAAACAGGTTACATCTATTAAAGCTGGCAACCACAGATGTATGAATGAGACTTCCTGTTTTGTGCAAGATTTTTTTTTTCTGGAAAACAAAACGAACAGTAGAAAAGGGAGTGCTTAGATTTTATGGGCTGCTGAAGCAGAGCTCAGTGATTCTTTTAATTCAGAGGATGCGTTTGAGGTTTTGAGAGTAACATGCTCATTTTTGCAAATTGACTAATCACAATAAACCCATTTAGCAATAACTCATCTCTTTAGCCCTTCAGATGGTTCTCCAGCACCCCAGAATTTTTCTTTTCCCTTTCTCATCTTGAACAAGTGGGTATACTTCCAAGCAATCAACTTACCCAGAAGAGACGTAGTCACCTGCTAGGTTGCTGCCCAGCTATCTCGCAGGTGCCATAAAAGTGGAGAGGTAGACTGTTCTTCACCACAAAATAACTCCTAACAAAGGTTCTCACTTGTGCTTGACTGGCTTTGATCCTAGTCTTCCTCCAGCAATGTTCTAGGCATTACATGTGCTGTCTCTTCTCCTGTAGCTATTCTGTAAACTAGGCCACTCTATGAAATCCACAAACACAGAAAGTTCAAATAGGGATTATCCAAGTCCCTTGTCACATGTTCATTCCAAGTTGCAACCTTGACCTCAACTGGACTAGGCACCTCAGGAATAATTCCAAACTCCCTCTGATACCTTAGTGCAGAGGTGGGGAACTATGGCCCTTTTATGAGCTGTGGACCTTAACACCCAGAATTCCTGATTCCATCCTGGCTCAGGAATTCTGGGTGTTAAAGTCCACAGGTCATAAAAGGGCCATAGTTCCCCATCCCTGTCTTGGTGGATTCACCAGTAATCTGGGATAGGCTGATTAAATAGACCCTTCCCCTTTACAGTAGGAGTTGACTACAGAGAATTCTAGAGCCAAGAGGCAAGGAAGTGATGTTAACTTCCCCCAACCCCAGATCATATTGCACTTACTTCTCTGTGTCCTTCTTTGTACAATCAGGTCTTCTACTTCCTCAAAACATCACTATTTAAAAGATTCATTAATGGGAAGCTGTCATGATGTAAAACAAAACATTCGCCCTCAACGTAATCTCTATTTCTAAGAGAGCTTCTAGGTCGCACATAGTACTCTAGAGATATTTTGAAAATAAAAACAAGTAATTAATTTTCTTTTACAGCGGTTATAAATTACTTTTTCATATTGGTTTACAATGTTTATATTTTATTATCTGTTTTATAATTTCATTTTGTTTGTTTCAAGCAAAAAAAAGAATCAATAAAAAGGTACTTTGACAAGGTAGCAATCTCAGACACTGTTGGTTTGGAATTTGGAAATCTTCCTGTGCAGTTCCTGTCGCAAGTAGAAGCTATGGCTGAAAGTGGGTGGGAGCTTTGCACAGGTATAACAGGTGTGCCAATTGCACCCTTTCCTGGTCCAGCAGGCTTTCCTCATTGTCATGTACAACTCAGTCACCCCTGGACTGATCAAGGGGCCTTTGACAAGCTCTGGGTCTGTTCCTAGACCACACTTAGAGAGAATCATTGGTATAGAAGACGAACCCTTATCTAGTTGGAGTTTCCACAGGCATAACCTCACTTTCCCCATCTATACTGTCCGAAACTCTCTGCATAGGAAGCAATAAATGTGCTATAAAACAGTAACTCCAAATCCCGGCACTTTCAGACAAGCTAAAGTCATCATTGAAAACATCTGAGAAGCAAATGCAAGGCTTTTTGTCTGCAAAAAAAAGAGGAGAAAATTGCAAACATGCTACAGCAGCTCGGAGGAGAGTTAACACAGACACAATGAAGTCAGAATTATTGTCATACTATAAGCTAAGATCCCATGGGCACACTATGATTCGTTGAATTCATTCTTCATCACTGCTGCAGGCACTCCTTTACTTGCTTCATCTCTTCCTGTAATCTCTCTGACCCAGAGATCAATAAGGCAAATGCCAAAGCTGCCCGCATATTTCCTATGAAATTAGTAAGTGTCTCTGACAGTCTAAAGTGTTCATTAGGCACCTGGTTCCAACTACCTTATGCAAAGGTTTACATGAAATCCATCATAACTGAAAGCAAAGGGATCCACCATCAACTTTGCAATAAATTCCAGGAACTGAAGGATGGCTGCTGCTAAATATTGGGGCAGTTAGTCCACAAACAGCTGCCCCATCTTGTTTGTAAAGCTCAGTGTTACATACAGGCCCAATTACTCTTACTTATTTAGTGACAAAGAGGCCAAGGGACAGGTGTGCATGTCAGGTTCTTCCTTGCTCTACTACTGCTGCTCTTCAGCAGATGATTGCTCTGGCTTTTAAGGCTTCACTTTAAACCCTTAGGGCATGGGAGTCAAACTCGATGCGTCACATTGCCGCCACGTGATGTTTCACAATTGTTTCCACTTTGCGGAGCTGGGGTGGGTGTGGCCTCTGCATGTGATGCATCTGGTCCGCAAGCCACCAGTTTGACACCTCTGCCTTAGGAGAAAGCTATTACAATAAAACTCTTCTCATGGCCTTTTTGAGATCAGGAAGAATGAGTACCCTGGATGTTTCACAGTGATGAAAAAATATGTATCTGAAAATGTAACAGCAGTAGCACTTTTTGCCACTTCTGACAATAAAGTAACTGAGAAACATTACCAAGGAATATTTGGAAGCAATTCCTAAACACCTACAAAGGAGGAAAATGGCCAGAGGTTTTTTTCACAGAGAATGAAAACATTTGAGAACTTGCAAAGCATATCTTTATACAAGATTATGTAGGTCATACTGAGAATCAGTTAATCTTCAGGATTGAGAAGGGATTTAAACCCAGATCTTGTCTTAATCCAGCATTCTCTATACTAAACTCTGCTGTTTTTTCTCAGCTTGACTGCTGACCGCTTTGTTGTGTTGGAGATTTTAACAATTATTGTCTTTTACCATAATTTCATGTGTGACAATATCAGGATTGTGCCCTTTGTTTTTATTTTGTTTTGCACTTTGGGATGTCTTTTTAATAGTGTCTTTCCGTTCACAATAGTGGCAGTTTAAAAATAAACTGAGAATGGAGAGGAAAAAAAAGTGACTTTGAAAGGTTTAAAGTAAACTAACCACAGGATGTTTCCAAAACCAGTGTCTGATACTGTGAGCTTGTGAAACATATTCAGGCTATAATTACAACCAGAGAAACTTGCGAAAAGAAAATCTACAGAAAAATATATGATTTCTTAAAAATGATCTCTTCCTTCATTTCTTGAAATGAAAACCTATATACTAACTTTGGGGGGGGAGCGGTAAATTTCCCATGCTTCCTTGAATTGATTTTGATGCATAAAAACATCAAGTGATTTCTAGCATATGAATAGATGCTATGTCTGAATTTTAAGTTTGCCTTAGTGGTTCACAGATTTCAATAGGATAAGAGATCTTCTCACATGCTAGTAAATGAATGCTTATGATCATCCATTGCAGAGTAGAGCTTTACATGGAAAGGGAGAAACCAGATGTTGAACTTGGTTAAGAAAAGGAAGAACATAAGACATTAAAGCTGATGCATGTGGGACTGAGAAATTCAAATAATACCTAAAAGATACCAGCCAGAGCATAGAACAACTCAGAGAAGTAGTGCAAGATCCGAAGATGTAGAGAGACTTGGCTTATAGAATCACCGAGAGTTGAATACAACTGAATGGGTAACATCATCATCATCATCATTATCATCAATTGCTTCACAGAGAAATCTTAAATTGTGTCAGTTATGTCCATATGCTTAATAAAATTGGACTCCCTAGACCAGTGGTCCCCAACCCCCGGTCCGCGGACCGGTGCCGGGCCGTGGAGTACCTGGCACGGGCCGCGCAGCGGCTGGGGGCCATGATCGCTGCAGC